GGGGAGGGGGGAGGGGGGAGGGTGCATACGAGAAGCCAAAGTGCATCCAAGCGTTCAGGGTGACGTTGAAGGGCTGGTTCCCAGTTAATTCGAGCCCTTCGGGGAACGTGACCTGGATAAACCGGCCTTGTGGGAGGCTTTGCGACACGCTGAACACCACCTGGTCCCCGCTCGATCTGATGAAGATGAGCTGCCCAGTCCTGTCCCAGTTGAACCAGCCCGTGAACGACATCTCGCCCGTCTCGTACAACTTCCAAGGTCCCAGCTCTGGACCACGCACATGCGCGCACACACGCACGCGCACACGGAATGAACGGCCATGTCAGCACGCCGCCGCCGCCACGCATTGGCACCACAGGCCGGCGCGGAAAGGAGAACCGGAGAGGGTTGGGGGGGGGGGAGGAGGACGTACTGACTTCGATGCTTGGGTCAACCAAATTGAGGACTCCGGTGGAGCAGTTGCCGCGCGAGTGCTGCTGCCACGTTGCCTGGGACGGGTTGGACGCGTCTTGTGTGGCCTGTTGTTGGTGTTGTTGGTGTTGTTGGTGTTGTTGGTGTTAAAGTGCATGGCCATTGGTGTTGGTGTTGTGTAGCGCAGCTGCTGCCGCCGCCGCCGCCCCACCATAACCCAACCGGAGGGGAGGGGAGGGGAGGGGGCGGGGCGGGGGCGGGGGCGAATTACCATGTTGGTCAGGGGGAACCCTGCCACGGAGGGACACGTCCCTGACTTCATCAACAGGAAGTTCGTTTGACTCTCTAATCCCCCCCCACCCCCCACCCATGGTGGTTGCACCAAAGGCCAAGTAACGTTAGAGAGAGAGAGAGAGGGGGGGAGGGGGTGGCAGGGCCGCATCACACCAAAATCCATGTAGGCCACGAGGGTGGCGGAACCCTGGTTCGTCCAAAAGGCGGCGACGACGCACACGACGAGCAACACCAGCTGCACCGCACCGACTGTTGCTCCTCCCAAACAAACAAACAAACAAACAAAACCGGGACCAAGAAGCAATAAAAATAAAAACCAAGGGGACTGTTAGTAATCCCCACGTGGGCCTGCAGGGAGTGGAGGGAGGCAATGGTGGGCGGTGGCGGTGGCGTGTACATGACGCTCGGAGGCCCATCCTCTCGGTCATGTTGTTGTTACGGTTTGTTGGGGGGAAGGATCCACCAGAATGAAGGGACCGAGTCATCTCGGGATTTGGGCCGGAAGCGTATATTAATTGCGGAGTTGTGGGGAGTGCCATTGGACCAATCGCCGTTTACGTTGGCAAATGAGAAACGATTTAATAATAAGCGTGTGGTGCTACAAGGGTGGGGGCAACGCTGGGCCCCTGGGGGCGCAAGAGCCATCACCACGGGAGGAGGAGGAGGTGCTCAACGACGACGGAGACCAAGGCCGCGGGGCGGAGGAGGGCGCCGGAGGAGGCGTCGGCGGTGACGGTGGTGGGAGCCGAGGCGATGGACACGTTGTTGGCGCGCAGATCGGCGAGCTTGGCGCTGAGGGCCTTTTCCATGAAGGAGGCCCCGTCGGTACCGGAGACGAAGAAGTCCAGCAGCGTACCCTGCTCCGCAGCAGCGGACGCCCTCTCAGCGCTGCTGGTCGTGATCGTCACTTGGGCACGGCGGGCCTGTACGGGGGCGGGGGGCGGGGCGGGGCGGGAGGCGCATGCCTGGTGAGCCTTGGCGCCTTTCCCAGCGCACGCGCGTGGTACACCCGTGGGGGCGCATGGGGCGGCGGGGCAAGTACCGCGACGATCTCGATCTGGGCGTCGAGCGGCAGCTGGAGGGTTGCAGAGACGCCGGAGATGAACCCGGCAGGGCTCAGGCTGTTGAGGTCCGTGGCGAGCGGGTAGCGCACCAGGTAGTCCGTCGGATTCGAGCCACCTGCGGTACCGCCGCCACCGCCGCAACGGTCAGCCGACGGCGCAGCGAAAGCGCAGCTCCCCGCCGCCGCTCGCCGCCACCAAGATAGATCGATCACAGAGGGAAGGGAAGGGAGGGGAGCGCCGCACCGCCAGATCCGCCGGTGGTGGTGGTGGTGTTGCCCGCCGTGGTGGTGGTGGTGGTGGTGCCCGCCGTGGTGGTGGTGTTGCCCGCCGTGGTGGTGGTGGTGTTGGTGGTGTTGCCGCCCTGCGGTCGGTGCACCGTCCCCGTGGGCCTGCGCGCATGCGAGTCCCCGTGTGTGAGGAGGCGCTCAAGTAAGAAACCCAGCAGCCGACAAAATAACACATAATAACCAAAAATAATAACAAAAGAACAACAAAAAATAATAAATGAACAGAGCCATGAAGCGGCGCGCGCACCAGACGCAGGCGAGGACGCCCCTGGGGTCGGGTACGGTCCAGGCGTCGGTGGCGTTGACCTGGAGGGCCGGGTAGATGGTGCCCTTCGGCCGGATGCCGAGGTAGGCGGCGAAGTGGGTGCCGGTGATGTTGCTGCCGGCGATGCGGTAGGAGCCGTCATTGCTGGAGGGCTTGGAGCCGAAGCTGGCCACCGAGAGGAAGTAGGTGCCCGCGGAGAGGTTGAACGAGGGCGTGATGGCGCCGGCCACGCGGTAGAACGGGGCCGTGATCGTGGCCCCCGCCGGCGACACATTGTCGCTCCTGCTCACCTGGATCGCCCGCCCGCCCTCCCACCCGGGCAGCACGTCGCCCGGGAGCGACGGGTTGGTGGCATTGGCCTCGTAGAAGAACACCGCCAGGCTGAACACGGCATCATCACTCTTCTTCCGCGAGAAGATCATCGACAGACCCTGCACCTGCATAGTATTTATGTTTTTTATTTGTTTTTTTTTTTTTTTGCATTTCCGTGCACACGCGTCAGACACCGCCACGGAAAAATAAGGAGACCGATAAAATAGTGCGCGTGCGTCTCATCACCGTGTGAGGGGTGGTCGTGACGAGGGGTTGGGTTGGTAGGCAGGTGGTACCTCGAACGAGCCCTCGCCGTCGAAGCGGAATGGGGCGGCGGCGAGCTGGCGTTGGGGAGAGGTGGAGTTGACAAAGGGCGGGGAGTCGGGACCCACAAAGTAGGAGCCCGCGGCGTAGGCCAGGCACACGTCGTAGCTGTTCTTGCAATACGGCAGCTCCGGGCAGGCCGCTTCGCCCGCCGTCAAGGCCCATGGCTCGGCCAAGGCCGCGGATGACCCCGCAAACAGCAGCACCACCGCCAGAGCCACCGCCAGCTGTAGTTGTTGATGCATCGTAGTCGTGTAGGGAACGAGGTACTGTTTGCTCCTCACATAATTGTATTGCTCTATACAAATTAATTGCCGATCGAGCACGCGGATTGGTTCTGCCGCTAGCCAACCACGAAGCACTTTTCTTCACCCATTTTCCACATTTTCTCCCGCGAAAAAGTGCCAATGAACCTGTGGCAAATATGTGAGGCTGCAAACTACTCCTCACACTCAACCTATTGATCTGTTCATGGTGCATTTGTTGTGGACATAGGAGGACTGGGAGCACCAAAGACCACAGGGACCCAACCAGCTGCCTGTACATTGTGGTAGAAGCACAGCCTGGATGAGACCCATGTGATCACACAACCAGTGAAGCCAGACAATGGAGCCAGTGTGGCAATTGTGGGTAAGAAAGGAGCTGTGTGGGTTGGTGTGGTAAGTAAAACTAGGCATGCACACATGTATATTCCTTGACTGTATGAAGCAACAGATGGGTCCTACAACTCCCTCTTGTGTACAGATGTTTCACTGGATCTCAACAACCAGATAAGACCTGTGCTCTGGTCACAGCTTCTTAGCATGTGGAAAGGCTGGCCTGATCTTGATGGAGGGATTGGCAGGCTTGAAGCAATCTTCAATGCTCTCAACCATCCCTGAGGTGAGAATGAAGACCAACAAATGGACATCTTGCTCTGGCACCACATGCAGGTGATGATGATTCTGGTTGTGAACTGCATGCCTGACTTTTTCTGCTCTTTTGTTTGTTTTCAATTTTTCTTCTCTTTTATTTGTTTTTGTTTTTTTTTCACAAAATAAATAGACGTGCAACCCAAAAAAACAAAATCCATCTTGTGAGATGGCCACGAACACGACCGTGGCGCAGCTGAGAAGGGCCGAGCTGCTGCACGTTGCTATCGCCCGCAATAGTTTCGAGCTGGTGCGGGAGCTCCTCGAGACCTACAGCCTTGACCCCAATACCAAATCATCCAAAGGCCTCGCCCCCCTTCACTTGGGTACCTACCCCTTCCGCCTTCCCCTCCCGTGGTTCCTTCTTCTTTTTCTTCTTCTTCTTCTTACTTCCCTGGGTGTACCTATCCCTGGCTCGTGACTCATGCCGTATGTGTGTGTATATATGGTGTGGTGTGCGGGGTGCGTGCATGCGTGGCTCTTTGCCAGCGGCGTGGGAGGGGAACGTGGCGCTGGTGGTGTATCTGCTGGTGCACAAGGCCGAGGTGGGCCTCGCGGAGGAGGGTACGGGGTGGACGGCCCTCCACCTGGCGGCGCGCCGAGGGCACGAGGAGGTATTCGCGGCTCTCGTGGAGGCCGGTGCCGACCTGCACGGGCGCGACCGCTTCGGATGTTCGGTGCTGGCCTACGCCGTGCTCGGGGGCAGCGCTGCCATCGTCCGCTTTCTTTTGGAGAGCGGCCTCGACGTCAACCACCGGCGGCCTTCCACGTCGCTCCCGCTCCCATCCGCCTTGGCCGCCGTTGCGCCGTGCGCCTCGGCGCTCCACCTGGCCAGCGCGCGGGGCGACCCAGAGCTGGTGCAGCTCCTGCTTGACCACGGCGCCCACGCGAACCTCCGGGACGACGCCGGTCGCACGCCGCTCTCGTGCGCCGTGCTCCATCTGCACCGGTACACCGGCGCACCACCACCACCACCCCTCTCCCCCCTCTCCCCAAGCAAGCAAGGCCCCCATGCACGCACGCAGCTCTCGCTCGTCTGCTTGGCCTGTGCAGCTCCTCCCCTCCCTGGCGGCCTGCGCGCGTGCGGGTCCTCACCACCACCATCCGTGGTGGCTGGCGGTGGCTGGCGGGTGCGCGTGTGCAGAGACGTGGCAGCGCTCCTGCTCGCCCACGAGAGGTCCGGCGTCGATTCGGTGGACAGCGCAGGTCGCACCGCCCTCCACCACGCGGTCGGCCTGGCGGCTCGTGCCACGCGCGAGGAAGCACGCGCTGCCGCCTGGGGCATCGTGGTACCACCGCCCAACCGCCTCCCCACCCTCCCGTCCCGCTGCCTCCTCCTCCCAACCCAACCCAACCAAGTTCGCCTTCGAGCTCATGATACGGTGACGCACCTTTGGGTGGGGGGGGGGTAAATACACAGGAGCTGCTGCTGCACCACGGAGCCGATGTGGAGGCCAAGGATCAGCAGGAGGCGACACCCCTCTCCCTCGCCGCCGACGGAGCGGTGGACATGCAGAAGCTACTTGTGAGCTTGGCACGGCAGCATAGGCGGCGGACGGCCAGCTCCGTGATCTGCCTGTCGGTGATAGGGCTTGCCACGAGCTTTGTCATGCTGTCCCGGCTACGCGGTTCGTAAAGAGGGGAGGGGGAGAGAGAGAGAGAGAAATGGGCCGCCGACAGGCGTGTGTCAAGCTTGCACAGTGGCACGAGGTCTGCCAGACAACTGTAAATAAAACATTGGACAATCGTCCCCCCCCCGAGGTGTGTGTGTTCTGGTGCGACCCGACGTCTGGTGGTCGTGTGGACGACGTCCGCCGGGAGCTAGCTAGTTCTAGAGGGGCACGGTGTCAGGTGGGAAGAGCGTGCGGCAGTGCTGGACGAGGAGTTTGACCAGCGTATTGACTGCCCCGGCGTCCACGATCAGGCGATCGGCGGGCGCGTCGGGGGGTGCTCGCATCACCTGTGTGGTTCGAACAGCGCGGGGCACGTGGAGTGGACCGTGAGTCCGTCGCACCCCCGGGCGGGCGGGCGGGCGGGCGGGGACGTACATTGGGTCCGACCACGATGGCCAAGTTGTTGACGTTCATGAGATTCTTGTCCGCATTCTCGGCAACTCGCCCCAGCAGGGTGTAGAGCCGCGCGCTCAAGATGTAGTTCTCCGTTGGCAACTCCCGCACCAGCGCTGCTACCTCGTCCCTGAAGGGGCACGCACGCACGCACGCCCGAAAAGCGCGCGCGCGCAACGCCGTGCAGCACCTGAGGTGAGCACCGCACTTGCCCGCGGGCCAAGACATCCCCCCCCCTATTGCTGGTGCTGGTGCTGCTGCTGCTACCAGCGCCTTCTCATGCCTCCCTGCTGGGTGGTGGGCCTGGTGGCGGGTACCCTATATCCGTCCACTCGCGACTTCGCCGCACTGCGGTGATGAAGGGCTCGTAGAGGCGGAAAGTCATGAGTGGTTCGGGCAGTTCTCGAAGGTAGAGCTTCAGCAGACCCGCCACCGTATGCACTTCCGCGAAGCCCAGATCCACGTCTTCCCCTGCAGCGCATCACACACGCACATGCAGCCGACACAACGCCAACACAAGTGGCGTAGTAAGGCCACACATTTCATCTCAGCCGAACACACGGGGATCACCAAGGTCGCGGCCCACGAAATGGCGGGCGGCGACGGCAGGCGAGAAGGCACGCACCTCGGTCGAAACGCTGCTTGAGCTCGTTCAGCAGAGCCGTGCTGCCAGACACTCGGAATATGCCCTCCAGCTCCACCCCTTAGCGTGTGTGGCCACGATCGCAGGTGTGTGTGTGTGTGTGTGTGGGCGCCGCGCCGCAGAGGGGGGGGGGTGAGGCGAGGCCACGCCAAGAGCCAAGTGCACGGGAGGGTACCGCGAGTGTCGAGCACTTCGAAGGCGCGCTCGCACACGATGGGCAGCAGCGAGGTCGTGGGGTTACGCGCGCACCCAGCCGCCAGCGGAAGGCCGAACAAGGGGGTGGCGCGGCTCTCGCGATTGAAGGTGAGCACCTCGTCCGGCAGCGTAAGTTGGTCCGGGCGGATGTACTGTTGTTGCGGATCCGGAGGGAGGAAGGGGAGGGAAGAAGCCACGAATGGAAGCCAACGGCGTGAGGCCACGGCGCAGCGTAAGCGGGCGATGAAGCGGGAGTGGAGAACGGAGTGGGCGGTGGACAGATGTGGTGGCTGGTGGCTGGTGGCGCGGGGGGGAGGGATAGAGCGGAAGAGGAGGGAGGGGGGGGGCAAGTGCACCCACCTGGTAGATATCGGTGACTTGGTCGATGTAGACAAGCTTCTTCCAAAATTTGCTGGAGATGAAGGGCTTGAAGAGCTTGAGGGTCATGCGCACGAGCGTCGAGGCGTGGATGATGTAGGCCGCTTTGAGGTTCTTCTTGTACTTGCGCTGCACCGGTGAACCCCAATCGGGGGGGGGGTGAGTTGGTGACCACTCGGCCGAGAGCATTGGGCAGCGGCGGGGGGCGGGGGGCGGGAGCGAGTGGGGGCGAGGCATGATCTATCTATTTATCTATCTATCTATCTATCTATATACCTGGAACATGCCGTAGGCCTTGCGGAGCCAGGTGAAGGGCGGGCGGTGGGCGGTGGTCATGTGCGTCTGGCAGAAGACCAGCGCGTACTCTTCTTCCACCAGCTGCGCGCCACCCGACCAGCGAACAGCGATCAGAAGGGCATGAGGTACGAGAGAGAATGAGAGATGAGAGATGAGGTTGGCAACACCGACTCGGTGTCACAGGGGCGCCCGCGCTGCGTGGTTGGCCAAGAGAACCATCATTGGGGGAGGGGGGGCACCTTGTCCATGACCTTGATGATGTAGAGCAGGAGTCGCTCGAAGTCGACCTTCTCGCCCAGGTTGTACAAAGTGAAGACCACCACCTGCCTTCCGAGCTTGTCCCGCCCGGCCTTGTAGAGCGCCTGCCGCTTCTCCAGGTCATCGAAGTCCTGCAGGGCCAACCCCCGCGTAATATTAATAGAAATATAAGAAACATTAACCCCACCACCACCACCAGCCGAAGAAGTATGAATCAGTTCATCAGGAATAGGGGGGGTGGTCCTCCTCCCCCCTCCACCCACCCAGTATTGTGGGCCTTCTCCAGCAGCAGCAGCAGCAGCAGCAGCAGGATGCAGGTGTGGTGGTGGTGGGTGTGGGGGGGGCGAAGTAGGGGGGGGTACCTCCTTGAGGGCAAGCTCCCGAAGCTTCTGGTAGTCCGCCTCGCCCTTGTTGTTCCTCTCCCTGCACGCGCACAAGCACCACACACGCGCGCGCGGCGCGCATGGAAACAGGAGCACCCATTCGGTTAGCCGCCAGCCGCCACCGGGACCGGTGTGTGGGAGGAGGATTGGGGGGCGGGGGTTACTTGCGCAGATCGGCGGTGGCGGTCAGGGCGGGAGTAGGCAAGAGAGGGAGAGGTCCCGTGGGTGCCCGGCCCCTGTGCGGCGGCGCTGTGCCCACCATCGCGTTGGTGGTGGTGCCGCCCGAGGAAGGAGGCCATCTCACCACAGCGGCCGAGGCAGCGGAGGCCAGCTGCGGCGCAGGGCGGGGGCCGCCGCCGCCGCCGCCCAGGTGATCACGCAGAGCCGTAGAGCCCACGGCGATGGAATAGCGCCGCGCCGATCTGCCTCTACCCGCGGTCGTAGGCACCGACGGCGACGACGAAGAAGACACGGCGCTGCCCATCGTCGTTGTTGTCGTCGTTGTCGTCGTCGTCATGGACGCCGAGGCACTTGCATGGAGGCCTCCAGGCAATGGAGACGACGCCGACACCGCAGAGGGCGCGGGTGGGGGGAAGGTGGACACACCCTCCCAGTTTGGCGCGTGGGTGGGCACCACGGGGAACGCCAACCACTCGTCGTCGTCGCCGCCGCCGCCGCCGGCACCACCAGAGGCCACAGCAGGAGGAGGAAGGCCTTCGGCGGCATCTTGGGTGCCGACGGGAGGTGCCACAGTGGCGGCAGCGGTGGTGAGGGAGGCCAGGCGGGAGAGGAGGTGTGGGTCGAACTCTCCCGCGCGGCGTTTGTTTCGCGGGTGGTGGTCGGGAGCGGCAAGGTCAGGCTCGCAAAGCGCAAGGAGGCGGCCCTCCTCCTCGGAGGACGCGGTCATGACGTGGTCTGCTGCTGCACCACCGCCACCATCGCCGCCGTCCTGCTGCCGCTGCTGCTTGCGCTCCATCCTCAATCCTGTTTCTGATTTCGTATCTTACTATTTTCATTTTATACTCTTTTGTTCCTCTCGTGCGTTGCCCTCTTGGTGTGAAATTTCACAGCCCCCCCCCGTACTTGGTGAGTTTTCGTTTGGGCCAAACAAACAAAGATAGGAAGAGAGGAGAGATCTGAGAGCAAGAAGATCGGCCAACATCGGTGCACCAACTGCTTGCCTGAAACAAACAAAACCCCATCGATCTGACCCAGCTAGGAGTCCTGCCTGTTCCCTCGCAAGATGGAGCGCATCAGTAGCTTCTACAGCCTCGAACACCTGGTGACCACTCTAGATGAGCAGGGCGTGCCCGAGGAGTACATATGCCCCATAACTCAAGATTTTATGCGCGACCCGTGCATCGCTGAGGACGGTACCATACCCTGCTGCTGCTGCTGCTGCATCCAATTCCTTCACCATACGAGCAGCAATCTGTTCTTGGCCAGCAACGTCTTCTCGGCCAAAGGGAGGGCTGGCTTTGTCCAGGTGTGGTGGGTGGTGGCTGGTGGCTGGTGGTGGGGCAGCAGCTCCTCTCTTTTTGTGTTGGTTTGATTTGCTGGCGGTGGCTCGCTCTTGTGTGGGGTGCTGAACCCGGGCGTGGTGTGTCCGTGTGATGGCTGGTGTGGTGGTGGCTGGTGTGGTGGGTGGTGGCTGGTGGTGGGCGGTGGTGCAGGACACACATACGAGCGAGCGGCGATCGAGGAGTGGCTGGGGCGGCACGGGACCTCTCCCATCACGCGGGACTACATCTCAGCGGAGCGCCTGATGCCGGATGCCACTCTCCGCAAGATGATCGACGATTTCCTGGGCGAGAAGCGACAGTTGCTCCTTTCCCAGCGGGAGCGTGAGAAAGGGTCGCGACTGTCCTCCGCAGATCCGGAAACAGACGGACGATCCGCACCACCTCCGCAGTTCCTTGCTGCCAACCAAGCAGCTCCGCGAGGTGACGACGACGACGACGGCGACGAAGGAGATGACGATGACGGCGACGATGATTCAGGGCACCCCTACTACGCCAGCGGAGGAGCCAAGGCCGAACGCGCGCCTCTCATGGGCCTCTCCGCCGAACGCGGTGCGATGAAAAGGGAGCAGCAGCAAGCACGAAGCAAGCAGATGTGGAGTGCGCACCACCCTCGACCTACCAAGGCCTCACGAAGCCCGCACCGTGAAGACATCACGCCGGCCTCCGCGCACGGCGTAGTCAGCCGGCAAGTCTCCACCTCCACCTCCACCACCTCCTCCTGTTGGATGTGTGTGCTCTACTAGCGCACGCGCGCCTCGCCGGCTGTCCAGCGTTGGACACGTGTGTGGCACACGCGCTGGGCCGCCACCAGCCAGATGGACCGACCTTCGTCCTCTTGAGTACGCGCCGCCAGCTCGCCTTGTGAACAAGTGAGCACGCAATTCACCTTCCTCCCTCCCTCCCTATCTCCTCTTGGCATCGTCTCGTGTAGGTCCCCTGCTTGCGGTCCCCCGGCGAGGAGGCATCGATGTACATACAACGCTAAGCTTGTTTCTGCCTCTCATGAAATTTACCTGTCCATAAAACCACCAAAGAAATCAACAGAAAAAACAGCAGAAAAAACAGCAGAAAAACAAGAAAAAAGCCGGAGTACTGCCCGGCGGCTTCCTGCTTTCTTCCGCTGCGGGCCAGCGGTTTGCCAACAACTGGAGAGAGAGAGAGATGGAAGACGACACCAACCGCACCGTACTTGCCCAGTTCTTTTCAGCGGACGGTTTCGCCACAGGACCACAGCTGGACCTGCCGTTGGAAACAACCACAGAGCAGCTCGAACTTCTGCTCAATGATCTCCTCGCCCATGTGCGCCTCTCCCTCTTTGATGGCAGCCCCAAGGCTGCTGTTTTGGTTTTCTTGCGTTCCGATCCACCTCCCATCTGCACTCGTTTTCATTATTTTCTTATTTAATTTTTTTTTATTAAAAAAGGAAACAACAATAATAAAACGAAGGAAATTATTGATCCCGCGTGCGTGTAGGAGGAGCGACTGCCGTACTCGTTCTTTGTTGAAGAGGAGGAGCTTGTCGAGTCAATCAAGCAAGCGATCCAAGCTCGCTCTTCGGCGGAAGATGTTGTGCGTATTGTCTATCAGCCGCAGGTACGTGCTCGCTCATGCCATACATACCAGATGCTGTGGCGAGATGGCGGTTCGACTGACGTGGGTGGGCTGCTGCATCGCGCCAGGCTGTATTCCGTGTGCGGGCCGCTACGCGCTGCACCACTTCGCTCGAGGGTGGGAGCCCCTCCTGTAGCCCATACTAATGGCCGCGTGCTGCTTGCCTCCCCTTTGCTCACTCGCCGTCATGGCATCCTGCGCATATGCTGTGGATGGCGCGATGGCCACAGGACACACGGAAGCCGTGCTGGTGGCCGCCTTCAGCCCGGATGGTCGCCAGCTGGCCACTGGTGGCGGTGATGCAACGCTCCGCCTCTGGGACATTCTCACCGAGACGCCACTGGCGACGCTCACCGGGCACACCAATTGGATCCTGTGCGCAGCCTGGTACGCTCCTTTTCGCTCCCCTCCACCGTCGAGCCACGTCGGCACGGTTAGGTGGGGCTCGGCCTCTTCACAACAACAACAACAACAAAGTGGGCCAATGGGGGGGGGGGTGCTGCCGCCCTGTTGTGGCTGTTGGCTGGCTGGCTATTAACCAAAGCGCCCCCTCCCCCCCAACAATGGAAGGTCTCCGGATGGCAAGCGCCTCGCTACGGGCGGCATGGACAAGGACGTGCGGATCTGGGATCCCGTAACTGGCCAGGCCATCGGCAAACCCCTCAAGCGGTACCCACCCCTCACCCCTCCTCTTCCCTCCCTCTCGTGTATCCTCTGGTCGCCGCCGAATTGGCTGCCTTGTCGCTCTCCCTCTCGCGCTTGCCCCCAAGTGGGTCCCCAACTTTGGTGATGATGATGATGATGATGGCACACATGACTCATGCATGCCCATGCGCGGTTCCCCCCCCCCAACCCACCCACCCACCCACCACCCACGATGAACGCTTCGCCTGGTGTCGGGTTTCATGCGCGCGCGCGCAATTTCCAATCCCCAAACGCTGCTGTGAATGCACCGAACAACGAACAAGGCACACCAAGTGGGTGAACGCCCTCGCATGGGAACCTCTGCACCTCAACCCCGACTGCGTACGCGTTGCCTCAGCCGCCAAGGACGGCACAATCAAAGGTGAGTCTGCCCTTCCCTGCTCCCTGCTCGTGTGCTCTCGTGGCACAGGATCTCGTCGCCGCTGACCGCCGATTGTGCAGTGTGGGACTCGTTGCGCGGGCATCTCCTGTTCTCGCTGTCTGGTCACGCTGCTTCTGTGACCTCCCTCAAGTGGAGCGGGCAAGGGTTTTTGATTTCCGGCTCCCAGGATCGGACCATCCGCGTCTACAACGCGTCTGAGGTCACATCTCCCGTGGCCCTTCTTCGTCGCTACTTGCCACCCACTCCCGTGTGCGTGCGTGCTGACAACGTCCTTGCCCCCCTGCGTGGTGTGACCTGCGCAGGGTGGCAAACTGGTCCGAGTTCTGGCCGGCCATGCTCACTGGGTCAACTCGCTCTCGCTGAACACGGACTACGTCCTTCGAACGGGGGCTCATGATCACACGGGCAAGTCTCCGGCCACGAAGGAAGAAGGTACACACACAGACAGAGAGAGAGAGAAAGAGGGGGGGAGAGAGAGAGAGAGAGATGGTCAGCTTCGCAGATGTGACTTGGGCATGGCTGTTTCCAGACGCCTCTCACCTTTTCTCTCCACCATCAGCCCAACAGGCAGCCATGCAGCGATGGCTGGCCGTAACGCAGGGCAAACCCGAGAAACTGGTATGGACGCACCGCACCGCACACCCCTCCGGCCTCTATCGCAGCATTGCCGTTTTTCTATCCCTCCACCCGCAACACGGACTGAGTCCTCCCTCGCGTGTTGTTGGTGCGTGCGTGCGTGCAATTGTCCAGGTGTCGTGTTCTGATGACCATACGCTTTTCTTGTGGGAGCCAGCTTCTTCGAAGAAGCCGCTCATTCGCATGACGGGCCACCAGGTACCTGCCCCTTGGCCTCTGACAGGACACGGGCACTTGGTGTTGAAGCAGTGCCTGAACACGTGTCCTCTTCTCTTTCCACTTCCAACAGCAACAAGTCAACATCACTTCGTTCTCTCCTGATGGCCGCCTCATCGCGAGCGCCTCGTTTGACAAGTCAATTAAGCTTTGGGACTCCAATGGCAAGTATGTACACATTCTCTCACTGCCGAGTCGCGAGGAGACACCGCGTCGAATGGTCATCTCAGTTTTGTTGTTGTTGTTTTTTTTTTTTTCATCAAAATTCTAATAGTATTCTTGGTGCGGGTGCAGATTTTTGGGCAACCTTCGGGGACATGTCGGCGCCGTGTACCAGATTGGGTGGGCTGCCGATTCCCGTATGCTTGTTTCCGGCAGTAAGGACTCCACGCTCAAGATATGGGACACCCGCACCAAGAAGATCAAAACGGACCTGCCTGGCCACGCTGATGAGGTACGACTACGTCGTCGTACCCATGCATCTCCACGCGTTGCACGACTCAACGCTACGTTGGACCTTTGGCGCTTTGTGTATTGTGCGCCCAGGTTTATGCAGTTGATTGGAGCCCCGATGGCGAGCGTTTGGTCTCTGGGTCGAAGGATTGCCTGGTGAAAATGTATGTTGCTGTTATTGTTCCCTTCCTCTGGTGGTTTGTTGGCTCTCTCATGTACCAATCCCCTCTTGCAATAATAGATGGCGACACTAGTCCACAGGCCTCGCTCGCCAGCCTAAACTAGAGCAATCTCGTCGTTGGCTTCGCCCTGATGATCAGCGCCCTGCAGGCTGTAGGCGCGTAATTTTTTGACCAGCAGCTTTCTTTTTCTCTGTTCATTTCTTTTCTTCCATTCTTCCGGCCGTACGAATGAAAAATGCCACTAAACAAAGCAAAACATGTTTTGTTTTGTTTTTTTACTACGATGGAGGGCCACCACAGCGGTATAACGTTGCCTGCCGCCTTTGCCGAGGCGTGGAAACGCCAACGCTCCCTGGACGCTGGGGCAGGAGGAAAGGCCGAAGAAGTTTTTGGCGCTTGGGAACGTTGCAACGCCCTTTTGCAGCCAGCCCTCCCAGCTCTCTTCTCCCGTAATGAGCGCTTGGATGACTTCAACACCTCCACCCTCAAGTTGCGTCTCCCCCCCCCAACCCGCACTGCACCCTTTAACCCTCGGTTGGCAACACGGCCGTTCTCGGTGGTGCACCAGGTACCTGCTTGTGCCCTATTACTTGGGTGGGGCGCTTGCGCAGCTGCCCGCTCTGGCCAAGCGTGCCCACCACCTCAAGAGAGCACAGGTGCGGAACTGCAGCACGTGTCGTGCGTCGTGCGTCGTGCGGTTGTTCCATGCGTGTGTGTGTATGTGTGTGTGACACTCACTGTAGTGCATTCCACATGTGGGGGGGACGTGTTCGTCTCAAAGGCGTGTTTCTCCGCCTTCCTCGCCGAGCTAGAGCGGCACGAAGGGCTCACTCGAGAGGTTTCTTCACTTCTTTGCCCCTCTACCACATCCCCCCCCCCAACCAACCGCCTCCATGTACGGATTCTACTATTTTTTTATTTATATTTGCATATCCAGGACCTCAATGTGTGGCATCGCGAGACGCAGCTCCAACCGACAGCACGCCGGACGGAAAGGATCAACCGCGCCCGAAGAGAACGCGAGCTGCAGCTGGCATTGCAAGAGCTGCATCAACGGCGAGGTTTGGCCGCGTCCCCCTCTCCTCGTGTGTCTGCTGCATCTTTGTGGTGTTGATTGGATCGAGTCAGGAATTTCAGCCTTGGCTGGCCACGATGAGGAAGACGAGGAGCACGCTGACGAGGAGGTCGAGAGAGAGATTTGGCTCAACACCATCCAACTTGCCGTGTTGAAGGCCATCCACGAACTCGAGGCCATTGAGCAGGCACGACACACCATACACACCATACACACCTACACACACGCTCACCGCATATACACACACACCCCCCGCGGGCTGGAAGAGGGGCCTGCTGTAACCCCCCCCCCAATCCCTATCCCAACTCTTGGCTCGCAGGAGCTGCCGCTTGCTGAGAGAATGTCCATTTCGGAGACAGCGCACGAGCTGGATGCCAAGAGGGTCCAGCAGGAGAGACCCAGGACCGCGCAGGAAGACACCAAGGTGAGATCTCTTCCCGCCTTCCCCGTTCTCTGTGAGAACACAGTGCGACGTCGAGATGACGTGTGCATTCTTCTTCTTCTGATGGTTGATGTTAATTGTTTATAATGCAGTTGGTGCCACTTGGCGAGGGGCAGGTTCCAAGCAAGGCGACCGAGCGGGAGCGTAAGCAACGGGAGGTGTTCCGTCCCTCGTGGAACTTGCCCACGGTGAGTGTTGAGGAGGCCGCTGCAGTCGAGATGCGTTTCGCGGCCAAATCAACTCCGCAAGGAGCCGCGAAGGACAGCGACAACGAAGATGAAGACGAAAATGACGAAGCTCTTCGCAAGACGCGCGAGTGGGATGAGTACAAGGACACACACCCAAGCGGGTGGGGCAACCGCATCCACCAGGGCTAGCGACCAACCGCAAACCTAGAAAATCGTTAGGGAAAAAAAAAGAACAGAGCAGAACCTGCCGGTTGCGTTCAGAAAATAAATGATGACCTCGCGAGGAACCACCACGACGGGACCCCCCGGGGCTGCGGCAAGGAAGCAACAACAAGCCCAACAGTCCCATCTCGATCCTCGCAAGGACAAGCTGGCTTACTTCAAGGATAATTTTCAGACACACGATGAAGATGACTTTGATCCCAAAATTTACTACTACCCCAGACAAGAGAAAGAGGTAACACCTCTGCCTCCGCTGCGGCGCGCAGCTGCCCCAGCAGGAAATTGAACCGCACTGATAATCCTGGTTTGTTGGCGGGCAGCCGCCACATCCGGGAGCAAGTGCCGCATCTGTCTTGGGCGGATCCGACCATTTGCAGCCCCCGGCCTCTCCTTCTCGATTTCCCTCCTACCCCTCACCACCCACTGCTTCTGCTGCGGTCCCTCAACAGGCAGCCATGTTTCCAGGTGCGAACCTCCCCCCTTTTGATGTTCAAAATGATTGCATGATGCCTCTGTTGCGTGAATGTACACGTGCCCCTGATGACAACTGTGTGTGTGCGTGCGTGCGTGCGTGCGCAGGACACAACACGACGATGCCAGGCGTGCACTCAGTGCAGGCCTCGCATGGCTTGGCGTCAATGGGCAGCCGGGGTCCAGCGCCCGTGGTGCCTGGTCTTGGCACTCTGTCCATGACAACTGTCGGCGTGGCCTCTCTTGGGGGAGCTGCTGGTGGTGGAAGTGGCGCGGGCGCGGGCGCTAATGGCCCGCGATCCGGGGCCGGTGTGTCAGCATCAGAGGCGAGCGGACTCGGGCGGTATGGTGCGTCAAGTGCTGGCCCAAGCATGTCGATGGCACACAGCGGTCCTCCAGGCCCGGGACCCACGATGCACGGCATCGGTCAGCTCGGTACGCGCGTGCCCTCGGCCACCAAACACCCAGCACCTAACGACATCGCCACGTCGTCGTCGCTCCCACCTCTCGTTTACGAAATTTGGAGGTTGGGGTGAGTGTCGTGTGCGGCATGCGAACGAGCCCATTCTTGGCTCTGTGTCTCTTTAACAACAGCGCCTACCCTTCCCTATCTTACCCAACGCGCGTTGATGTTGTTTGGTGCATGCCAAACAGGTGTGGCAGGAGGCATGGGCGGATCGCGATCGGGGCAGGTCATGGCGAGCAGAGGCCAACAACAACAACAACAACCACAATTGGGTGGTGGTGTACAGAATATCAGTGGAGGCCTGGCACGACCACAGGCGTCGCATGGTGGCATGGTGGGGCCAGCCGGACTTAATCCTCCTCCTCCCACGGCCTCGAGTCCGCCCATCGGCTCGGCTCAGCTGAGCCGGCAGGGAGGTGCCTCCGGTCAGTCGGCGATCTCGCTGCCCTCGACCTCCAACTCGTACAACCCTTCGGTCGATCTCTTCACCATGATCAATCGTCAAGGCACGCCCACCACCGTCAATGCCGCTGCTCAGTGCCGAGCGCTGCTCTTTCACGTGTCTGTCTGCTGCCGTCCAGAAGCCAGCAGCAGCCTTCTAACCGCACCTCCCCTTTCCCGTGCAGGCAGCGGCGGCGGCATTGTTAACGGCAACGGTTTCACACCACAACCACCTATCGGCACGATGAAGCAGATGCCGATTAACCTGGACCCCAAAGGTACTCCTCCTCCTCCTCGCGAGAAGCGGTGTTGCTGCTGCTGCTGCTCCCCGAGCCCGCACGGGAATGGTGCTGTCCTCCCAACACTTTAATTTACCTCCTCTCCCCTTCCCCCCCCCGTAATCACCGCCCCATTTCTATATATATATATCGCGCTTGGCAGCTGCTCGTGTGGGAGCGGCAGCGCCTGGGGCAAGTGTAGCGGGGGGCAAGCAGGAGATCTCGTTGCACGACATGACCGAATTCCCTGCCTTGGGTACGCGTGGGGCTTTGATTTGGGGGGGGGTCTACTCCTCGTGGGCTATTCACGTGGAGCTCCTCATTTCTCGAGTACTACTCTCCACTAACTAACTACTACTTCCCCCCCCCTTGTCTTCGACATGTGCGATGTTGCCGCGCAGGGATGCAACACAAGGGCATGGCACAACAGCAAAAGGAGCAGATGCTTCGCCTCACCCCGGAGGACTTTCCGACACTGTCGCCCGCAGGCTACAAGGTTCGTACTTGCGTGCCTGCGTCCCTGGGACCAGTCAGCCCTTCGGGTCCCGTCGATGGCTGTCACGCCATGTTGGGGCTGCTGTTCCTCTGACCGGAAGCTCATTTCCGCCGTTGCAGCAGCAGCAGGGTGAGGGCATGGGCGCAATCGGAGGACACCAAGACGGCGTTGCCGGCGAGCAGCTCAATGAGAACGCCATTTTGGGCATGAATCCGCAGTTCCATGGGAGCGGCGGGTACGGCACCGCCACTGCTCCGGCTGCATCCGGCAAAGGTGTTGTTGGACACTCCCAGCACGGCCAGGCATTCGCGCAAATGAGTATGGGGCACACCACTACCGGTACGTACCCCCCCCCCCACCCATCCATCATTGTTTCTATGCACCAGGCCTCCTCACAATAGCAATAATAACAATAATAATTGCTCTGCTCGAGCGAGCAGGCATTCGCAGTCCAACGCCGCCCATGGGGTCCTCGCAGCCATACGAACAGTTCGTGCCGCACATGCGCCTGGCGCAAACGCTCTCCAAGGCACCTCAATACACCCCCCCCCACTGACGTGCCACTTTCGTGGGCCCACTTTCCCCGTGCTGCCACTCCACATGTGGTGGCGAGTACTGGTCGAGGGTGCAGCGCGAATGCGATGCGTGTTTTCTTCTCTCATCTCTTCACACGACACACACACAACCTCAACAAGCAGACCCCGCCCGTGCCCGACAGGTTTGGGCTGCTAGGGTTACTGAGCGTCATTCGCATGACCGACCCCGATCTCAACACCCTCGCCCTCGGCACCGACCTCACCACCCTCGGGCTCAATCTCAATTCTCCGGAGTACGCCGCCCGTCCCCCGTTTCGTTCGGCTCCTCCTCCTCCTCTTGTGATGATTGTTTCCAGGGGCATCACCCCTCCAAAGCACCCCCCCCCAAATCCAGTCTTCTCACGTGCTGCTGGGGATGTGAACAACACCTCCCGTGTGCGTGTCTTGGCGTGTATTCATGTGTGTGTTGTGTGGCCAGCTGCTTGTACGCCTCGTTCACGTCGCCCTTTGCCGACGGACCGTCGCGAAAGGAGCCTGAATACCACCTTCCTCTCTGCTACTACATGCAACCGCCCATGCAGCCTGCCGAGTCCAAAGTTCAGCTCTTCTCCGACGAGACCCTGATCTACGCCTTTTATGCCTTGCCCCGTGATTTGCTGCAGGTCACCGCCGCAGTCGAACTGTACGTTGCCGCCGTGCAAACTTACGCTTACGCTTTCTAGGCAACTAACAGCCTGCGCCTGCTAACTCCTCCCTTCTTCCACTATGCCTATCACACATGACACGCGACACGCGACACGCGACACACGGCACACGACATACACACTTCTCTATTGTCGCGTCAACAGGTACAATCGCGATTGGCGGTTCCACAAGGCACTGCAACTGTGGTTCATCCGCGTGGACTCGGAGCCGGTGGCGAAGACCACCGGGTACGAGAGGGGAACGTACATCTTCTTCGACGTCACCAACTGGAAAAAGGTCAAGAAGGAGAACTTCCTCCTCTACTACGACCAGATCGCCGAGCTGCCCAAGTTGCTGCCACTTCAGCCTATCGGACCCCCTTCCGGCAGCCCCGCCCTCACGTCTCCCGCCCAAGCGCTCAATCAGCATTCCTCGTCCTCCTCGGTACGCGCCGTCCTCCGTCGTCGCCCCGCCGTTCAGGCCAAGGAGGTGGATACTTACAACCAACACATCCACCCACCAACCAACCCCGTAACCAACCTTAACCACGCTGCTGCTGCTGCTGCTGCTGGTGGTGGTGGTGGTGGTGGTGGTGGTGGTGTTCCGCCGAAGCAGAAGGACAGCCCTCTCGTGCAGGCACGGTCGAATCGGCGTGGTTTCGACATGGACTAGTCTGCTGGCGCGTCGTTCCGCTGCTTCGCACCCCGTGTTCTTTCTTTTTCTTTTTCATGCTTTTTTCAATTCCATTTTCCTTTTCGAAACGTCTGGAAGAAAAAAGAGGGAACCCCCCCCTCGCGGACCGGAGGAGCAACCGCGGTGTTCTGCTTCAAATCAGTCTTGTGCACATACAAAGAAGATGACCGACGCACAGGTGATTCGCCATCGGCAGCTCGACGAAGAGGATGAGCTGGACGCTGATTACCCCGATGAGTACCACGTGCTGGGGGAGGCGCCGGTGCAGCTCGACAAAAGCTTTGCCAGCGCGATCATCGTGGACAACCTGCCTGTTGTGGGCAAGGAAAAATTTGACAAGTTGCTGGGAGTGGTGACCAAGATCTACAGCCAGATCCCCGGCGGCGCCATCGTCGAGGTGTTCATGCCTACGGACGAGAAGGGCCAGACCAAGGGCTACGCATTTGTCGAGTTCTCAACTGTCGAGGCAGCCCGCAACGCCGTGCAGCAGACCAATGGCTATAAGCTCGATCGTGCCCACATCTTCCGGGTCAACTTCTTCGAGGACTTTCAGGTCTACGACAAGGTCACCGACGCTTTCCAGCCCATCGAAATGCCCGCCTACAAGCCCAAGGTTTGGTGTTGCCACCCATTTTCGCCATTTCCCCCCCCACTACTCTCCCACACTTAGATCCTAACTCACACCACCCTTCTTCCATCCCAACACCACAGGAAAACCTGTGGTGGTGGCTTATCGAGGAGCCGGGCCAAGCGCGGGACCAGTACGCTCTGCGCTACTCGGACATGACTGAAATCTTCTGGAACGAAGGCAAAAAGAAGGCCGAGACGCACTTCCGCAAGAAGGTGAGTCCATTTTTGTGAGTGGCGAGGACACGGAGCTGCGTGACCGTATGACTTATCATCACCTCGGATCGATTTCGCGGGGGTGGGGGCTGCGCGTTCCAGGACATGACGGAGACCTACGTCACGTGGTCGCCCCATGGCACGTACTTGGGCACTTTCCATCGACAGGGCGTGATCCTGTGGGGCACGGAGAAGTGGGACAAGGTCATGCGCTTCCAGCACCCCGGCGTCAAGCTTCTCGACTTCTCCCCGCGCGAAAACTACCTCGTCACCTTTTCCACCCAGCTCGCCCAGTGCGCCCTCCCCTCTCCAAATCAAAACACGCTCACCACACGCGGGTGCTACCGCGGCCCCACCGCACCATGCACCACCGTAACCTTTCTGTCCATTTATTTATTAATTCATGTTTCTGTGTGTGATCCACCGCCTGCTGCCAGGAACGACAATCCCAAGGACCCGCAGGGCGTTATCATCTGGGACGTGCACACCGGCCTCAAGAAGCGCGGCTTTGTCGGGTCCAAAGAAATGACCTGGCCCACTTTCAAGTGGTCGCACGACGAGAAATATTTTGCCCGTCTTTCGTACGTGCCTTCATCAGCTTTTCATCGCCCCCCTCTTCCCTCCTCCCGCTATGTTCTTCTTCTTATTATTGTTGATTGGCGTGTAGGGCCGATACTATTTCCGTCTACGAAACCCCCTCCATGCAGCTGCTTGACAAAAAGTCGTTCAAGCTGCCCGGTGTCAAGGATTTCCAGGTGCGCTGTGGCCCCCTTCCACCCCCCCCCCCTTTATAACCCAGTGATGTGCCTGCTTGCTGCATTGCACTTGCTACGTCCAGCGTCTCACTCCCTCCCCACCGCTCAACCCGTAGTGGTCGCCCTCCAACAACGTCATCGCCTGTTACATCCCCGGGCAAGAGTTGGGCGACAAGCCTGCCCGCGTCATGCTGATCGAGATCCCGTCTCGCAACGTCCTCCGCTCTCACAACCTCTTCAAAGTCATTGTACGCGTCTCTTCACCTCCCACGCTCCTTGTCCTCGCCTCGCGGCAAGTCGGTCGTTGTTGTTGTTTCGCCCAGCGAGGAAACAGGAGGACTAACGGAGTGGCGCGCCTCCACATGGATAGGATTGTAGCTTGCACTGGCAGTCCGCTGGGGACTACCTGTGCGTCAAGGTGGAAAGGAAAGCCACCAAGAAGACCACCACGACCGGTTTTGAACTCTATCGCATGAGAGAAAAGGATGTGCCGCTCGAGGTACATTTCCCCCTTGTCGTCCGCGCGCTCCGCCTATCATAACGTGCACCCACGCCTCCAACCAACCAACCAACCAACCAACCAACCAACCAACCAACCAACCAACCAACCAACCAGGCGGTGGACGTGAAAGGCAAAGTAGAAGCTTTTGCCTGGGAGCCCAAGGGCGACCGTTTCGCCGTCATTCACTCCACGGAAGAGCGCGGATCGCGAAACGACATCTCCTTCTACACCACCAAGGGTCCGGGTATGGTCTCCCTCCCCAATGGTACCGCGTTGTTGCAGACTCTCACAGAAACGCACGTGATCACCACCAACTACCACCTGCCTACCGGTACTGGGCACAGGAGGCAAAGTGGCGCTTCTCAAGGTGCTGGAGAAGAGGCAGGCCAACCACGTCTTCTGGTCCCCCAAGGGCCACCTGGCTGTGCTTGCTGGATTCGGTCCGGGCGGAAACGGCCTGCTGGAGTTCTACAATGTCGACGATCTGGAGTCCATGCGTACCGATCAGCACTCCATGGCCTCGGAGCTGCAGTGGGACCCGAGTGGTCGCTTCGTTGCTACGTCGAGTACCTACTGGGCGCATCCGCAATCCGACAACGGCTATGTCATCTGGAGCTTCCACGGAAAGCGCCTGGCCAGTATGCGCCCTGACCAAACCTCCCTCTTCAACCACCGCATTTCACTCACCCCCCTGCTCATCTCTGCACAGACGCGACCAAGGACAAGTTTTTCCAGTTCCTTTGGAGACCCCGCCCACCCACACTCCTGAGCAAGGAGAAGCAGCGCGACATCGAAAAGAACCTGCGCCAATACGCCGTCAAGTACCGCAAGCAGGACCTTGCGCGCAGGAAGGTCGCTTGGGAGGCCTTTGTTGCGAAGCGCCGGCAGGAGCGCGATGCCTGGCACACCTCCCGCCAGCAGCGTGCGGCGGAACGTGATGCCGAAAAGGCCGCTCGGGCGAAGCTGCGTGGCGGTGTTACTTCTGACGATGAGGAGATTTGGGACGAAGTGGAGGAGGAGGTGGAGGAGCTGTTAGAGGAGGAGGTGGAGGTGATCGATTACTAAACCACCCACCACTAAAGACGCTTAATTGCCTACCTGGCAACAAGAGTAACGGGAAACAATTTGCTGTTGGTCGTCTGGGACAAAAAATCAAATAAAAAACCATTTTGGAATATTATTATCTATATATTTTTGACCGTGTTCCGAAATCGCCTGCGGAGTATTGACTTAGATTTTTTTTGCGGCTGTCACCACACCAGCAAGATCACTCGTTTGCTCGCTTGCTCTGTAAGCTCTTGACCTTGCGTTTTGTTCAAACTGCGCCGCTGAGGACGGGCTTCAAGATGTGATAGGACTCAGCCCTGTAGGATGCCTCATTGGGCCGCTAGGACCTCCCATTCCTTGCCGTTCTTCCAATTTCAATGCCACATAACAAAGACCACTCTTTTTCTCGCTTGCTCTGTACGCTCGTGCCCTCGGGGGACTCAACCGAAACGAGTAAAACTAATTGCACGAGTAACACGAGAGCAACACTAGCGACTCACTCAAAGAACGAACACACATGAAATTCGTTGGTGGACGATCCGCGGCAGATAAGCTGAGTGTCTCCGGAAACGGCGATGTGCTAGCAGCCCCAAAAGGCATCCTACCGGTCTGAGTCCTATGGGGATGATTCGCCGGTCGCGATGTCCGCGGATGATTGCGATGTCCGCGGATAATCGCGACCTCCGCGGACATACCGGACATCCGGGATAATCGCGATCTCCCGCGGACTGCCTACTCTTCAGCGCCAGGAGGTCGCGATTATCCCGGATGTCCGGGATGTCTGTTGGAGTCGGTTGATGTGTTGCCGAAGAAGTAGATTTCTAAAAGTAATTTATTGTTCAAGAACTAACATATTTGAGTAGTTTCCAAAGTGAGGAAAGGAATAGTTCGAGAAATAAAGTGATAACTGTTTGGGAAATATGATAAGATAAGATAGTGGAGAGCACATGTCGAGGTAGAGTTGATGTTTTCCAACAATGTCCACGGAGGTCGCAATTATCCGCAGGAGGTCACAATGTCCACAAGAGATCACAATGTCCACGAAAACAAGCCATCCCCTTTGGGCATGCAACGACAACGCGTAAAATTAGGGGAACTACTTAAACTCCAAAAACTCGTCCCTCTTCATCTCCGTCGGCCTCTCCCTCGGCATCTGCCTCTGCATCTCCCTCGGCGTCGCCCGCTGCCCCGTCGTGTGGCCCGACATTAGCGGCTGCTGCCCAGCGGAGATCAACAACAGCCCCTTCTACAGGGACGCCCGCGGCTGCTGCCCGGTGATCACCAACGTGGGCATCCTCTACCCCGACACAATTGCTCACGAGCCCACAGGGAAGTCAATGATAGATTCAGTAAAACTCACTTTCTTTGAAAGCTCCGGCACAGGTGCCTATCGCTGTGCCAGGCACTGGGCCTTCATGGGTGAGCAGAGTGAGCACTGTATGAGGGGACGAGTAAATAACGAGTTAAAGGAGTAAAAAACGAGTAAAATGACCACAAACCACCTGTGGCAACACTGATTAAACGCGTTAAACTAGTTAAACGCGTTTAACGAGTGTTATTCGTTTTCCTTGCATCCCCTGACAAGCTGTTGCTGTTTGCACGATTGCCACGAGTAGAAAACTAGTTCTACGAAGTAAACTAGTGCTTCGAGTTAAACGAGTTCTACTCGTTTTCGTTGCATCCCTTCATACAGTCCTAGCGCGGTACAGTTCGCTACCTATTCGTTCATGAAACGAACCGAGTTTCTGGAACTCACTTGTCGAAAGTACTGGATGCTTAGAAAAGTGCCGGCCGCCTGCACGAGTTGTGGGTGAGGCCAAGAGTCCTAACGGGGAATAGGACAGCGGCAGTGCAGTGATGATACCAAGGTCCTGGTCTCCGCTGAGGCTTTCGCTGTCTCTGCAGCCGACACCGAAGATGTAGCTCACGGTCTAATTGGTCTGGAAAATCATTGGCAGCCTGTTCGGTATCAAGGCAAGCGAGAAAAACAGTGCTCTCGGTTGAGTGGCCTTGAAAATTGCAAATGTACGCCAAAACGGAGAGGTCGTAGGGTCAATGAGGCATCCTACAGGGCTGTGTCCTATCACCTCTTGAAGCCCGTTCTTTGCGGCGCATTTGGAATCGATTGCGAGGTCAACAGCTTACCAGGCAAGCGAAG